TTGTTAACGCGTCGTCCTGACTGTACCAACGTCTACACAGTTATAAATTACTTAAATGCGTGAACGATGCAATATTTATATTTCCATTATATAACGATGATTGTTTCATTGTGATGATTATTTAATGCCCAATTGTGCCTTTGGAGGCCAGGGCACGCGAGCTGAATGAAACATTAACTCGCCCACATAAAACACGGCTCAAGCACACACACACACACGCGTACAATTATTAGACAAAAGCTGATTTATTGTGCTACGATTGTTGTTGTTGTGCCCTTTTGCAACGAGCACTCGGCCTGCATTGTTCACTCGTGCGCGCGCGGTCCCTTTTTGAGTGCAGAGAACTCGTGTGCTGGTGGAGAGCGGTGGCGCAGCGGTTAGCGCACTGCGATACGAGCCTGGCGACCCCGGCTTCGCTTCCCGCCGTCAACCATCATCGGAGACAAGATCCGAACCGGTTCTGGGCATCCGCTATAGGTCGACTCGGCCTCAATAAGTACCTGGCGCGGGGGGATGTGGTTCTGACCACACCATTCGCTTGTGTGCCGTGCTGGACATCACGGGTGGTCGTGAACAGCACTTTCCCCAGCAGTCCGTGAAGGCGATGCGGGGCGAGAAGTAAGGGGGGGGGATTTGTCCGTGGAAGTATTGCATGTCAACATTAGCACTGGAGATACAAAGGCGGCTGGTTGGCTAGTTGAAGGTTCGGGTGAGGGATAGTACTCGTGGCTTAGTCTTGGTTATTTCGGTAAAGTCACGTAGAAGGGAAATAATACAATAATTAAAATAAAACAATAGATACAATTCTCACGACGTTTCGGCCACAACGCAAGCAGCCGTCATCAGGTGAAGAACAGTGCAGGCCGAAACGCCGTGAGAATTATCTTATTATGTTTTATTTTTATTTTATTATTTCCCTTCTACCTGACTTTACCGAAAGAACCAATAATCTGAATCCATGCAGTCACGAAAGCTTTAAATCGAAATTTACTCGTGGCTTCTTGGCTAGTGGCGTGGCTCACCTCTGTCCAACACACGGGACACATGCACACGTTGGCGCGTGCCGTGTAAATGTCCACACGTGTTCCATTACTCCATGGAGCGACCTTAATTATTTTAAGACCCTGATGGTCGTCGTCCCCCCCTTTATCCCGTATCCCCTTCGCTTTTTCTTTAATTGATGAGTCCGGGTCATTTAAGAACGGGATTCATTCTCAGGTTCCTCTCTCTTTCTCCTTAATGCCAGAAGACGTGCCCGGTGTCGCTCGGACATTGCCCGGGAGGGGGAGGGAAAGGGGGGGGGGGGTTAGAAAGTCTAGCCCGGTCAGTCGCCTCTCTGTCAATCTTCTAGCGCTACTACCCCCACGGTCACCGCTCTCCCGTCCAGACTCCACCAACGTTGCGCAGACTCGGTCATCAAGCGGGACACTGGGCGGTGAGAGAGAGAGATCACACGGTTGGCCATGTACGGTGGGAAATAAATTCAACGTGCATGCGTACATAGGAGGGAGAGACGCGCTTGTTAATCTTATCGGAGATCGTGACCTCCCTCCCCCCATGGGTTCCCCTTTATTTTCAAATCCTCGTGTCCACATTCCACGCGTAGTCGTGCTGAGGTTCGCGGCTGCTACCGTCAGCGTTGGGTTGCCAGCTTGTCCGGGCAGTCCCAGATCCGACACCTGTGTTCTATCGGGTGGCGGCAGGAATCGAATCGTATCAATACCTGGTGACCGGTGTTGCTTTGTTGAGCTTTATCGCAGTAAACTCCACAGATCTGCGAACAGAATAGAGTCGGCCTAGAGTGCTGACCGAGACATGTTTGCAGATTTTGGTATCCGTGTGTGTGAAAAGCGGCAGCCTGCCACCGACTCATTTCATGCGCCAATTCATTCGCAAAGTCACTCGTACACAAAGGCATTCACTCGTTCATTTGCCAAGTCACTCAGGAACTCACCCACCCACGCATCAGGGTTGCCACCGTTCTGCGAACTTCTGCATCCGTGTCGGGCGGCAGCAGCAGCAGCAGTTCATGTCTTCCTAGACCTGGTAGTGGCGGTTGCGCTGTGCTCAAACTTGACCGCAGCACAGCTTTACATGATGAGATGAGACACGTGGCCGCTGACTTTTGACAGGACCTGGTGCCGGACTGAGCGATGTGTCCCGGGGGGGAGATGGTCTTGTGTGGAAAGGTGGCAGCCCAACGTCAGAGATTTACTGCCGCGATCACAGAGGGGGGCGAGGGGGGGGGCGAGGGGGGGGCGAGGGGGGGGGCGAGGGGGGGGGGGCGAGAGGTCAACCCCCCCACCCCCGCCCCTCCCCCCGTGACTGTGTTGGTGTCACGACACCTTCATCAAGGATTGGAACCCGGCTCCACAACGTTTGATCTTGAACACATATGGGGAAAATCCACATTTAGGAATGCAGGTTGGTGTGTGAAGGTGCTCGGTTGATGGAGCGTAGTCGTTGTAGTCAATTAGACGTTCACACTCCTAGCCTGAGCCAGACACAACTGGCTCTACTACCTCTAACCACACGAGCCAACCAGCCCCAAACCACTACCCCTAACCACCAATCAATCATCACGAACCAACTAACTCCCTAACCACACTGACCAGCCAGCTCCTCGCACAAGCCTCATCCCTAAAACATGATAGCATGTTTTTTTTGTTAGATAGTAAAAATATAAAATGTGTCGAGAAACCCACCACCACCCGACACAGCCAATTAGTATGGTTCGTCACGTAAACAGAACGTGCCAATGAGCTACTAAAGCACATCAGGTGCGCTGATAGAGTAAACCCACAACGTTTACAATTCAAGAACGACGTTTCGCTGGTGATTACAACCAGCTTCATCAGGCGATAGCCAGAATTGTGAAGAAGCCCTCTCCCGGTTTCGGTCTCAAATGAGGAGTGGCGGGTTTAACGGGCACATTCACGTTCACGCGATGCAACCCGAAACAACACAAACCCTTCAATGTGGATAACGTTGGTCGCGAGAGGCCACGCGTGAAAAACAATCCACGGCGAGCCCCAGGCGGAGCGAACGTTCAAAGCAGACTCCAGTCCTTACCTGGCCAACCCAGACGTGAGCATTCACACAGACTCAGAGCCCCCCTCGCTCCCCCCCACACTGCCCCCCTCGCCCCCCCCCCTCTCTCCACACTGCCCCCCCCCTCTCCACACTGCCCCCCCCTCCACACTGCCCCCCCTCGCCCCTCCCAGCCCCCCCTCCACACAGCCCTCGCCCCCCCCTCTCCACACTGCCCCCCCTCGCCCCCCCTCCACACTGCCCCCCCACTCGCCCCTCCCAGCCCCCCGCTCAATGTTAACTCGCTCGCCGCTAACTCTCCACCGTTAAGGCGGGGGGGGGGGGCAAACGTCATCAAACGTTCACGCGCGACTTTCAATCCACCCAGGTCACAGAGCAGACGGTCTCCCGGGGAGTCATGCCGGCTTCGTGGTGAAGTACTGTATTGCACAGATACAGTCTATACACATACTGCAATGAAGTGGGGGGGGGGAGCAGGGGGGTCTCTATGGGGGAGGCACATGGTCTTGACGAGTCTTGACGAGTAAACCAGAAACGCGACCGGTTGTATAGGACACTTATGTAGTAGCGGTATGCAAGGTATCATCATCATCGCTATTGCCGTATTGCTGTTGTCACCGTAGGACGTACAAAATAAAAGACCTATTAGGGAAAGGCACAGAAAATTTACACCGGGGTTTCCAGACTTCAGTCCTGCGCGACCCCACCATGGTACCCCCCCCGAGTCTAGCGCGCGGGCCCCCCCCCCCCACCCCCTCCTCCAATCGTCGTCTTGTTCCAACACAGATCTCGTTGTCGCTACGCGCGCCCGATGATTGCTCAACAGCAGCGCGTGCAACGGGCGACGGTTTTGTAACGATCGGCGTTCGCTCACGTCACGCGACGCACGCGCCCGCATTAAAGACAAAGGTCACCCGTATAGCCTTTTGACGAGACTGTCGGGACAAGTGCTGTTAGCGAGACGCCCATTAAGGCCGGTCGGCCAACAACACCACGCCCGGCCTTGTTTGTCTCCCCAATGCCCGCGATGTTTACACACCAAAGAAATGCAGCAGCAAACATCGGTTCCGTAGGAGATTGCGTAACCAGGCGGCTCTTAAGGCTGTACCCGCGGTGGGGTCGCGGAAAAAAAACCCCAACCAGGAGTCTGCGAATCCCTGCTGCCTGGTCGACTTGCAGTACGGAATATATTGATAAGACAAATAGACGCACGTTAATTAAACACCGCCTAACATCACCACCATCACCACGCCGCGCGCGCCTCCGAGTGCTACACACAAACTGAACCCCCCCCCCCCCCCCCCACTAGCCCTGACCTTTACCCGGACCCTACTCTTGACCCTGCAAAGGGGGAGGGGGAGGCGGGGCGCTTAAAAAACACACACAAACTCAAACTCGTATCCCCACCGACCCCCCAAGAGCTGAGGTGTGTTGGGTTTCAGGCGAGTGTACAGGTGAGAGAGCACAGGTGAGAGACCACAGGTGAGAGAGAGCACAAGTGAGAGAGAGCACAGGTGAGAGAGAGCGCGCAGGTGAGAGCGCGCAGGTGAGAGAGCGCGCAGGTGAGAGAGCGCGCAGGTGAGAGCGCGCAGGTGAGCTCTGGGACCGTTCCGAATCATCGAGGCTTCTCGTGCGCGATTAGTGCAGAGCCTCAAACTTTCAAAACTTAGCATGAGGAGGAGAGGGGGGGGAAGTGGTGGAGTTGGTTGGTTGTAGGGGGGGGGGAGGGTAACGAGGCTGTTTGGTTATTTTTAAAATCAAATTGCACCGTCGGCGTGGTGTCGCGAGATGACGCATCCATTGGGAAATCTCGCGGACCCCCCACCGCGTCCCAGCGGAAGGCCACGGACGTCACAGACAACGATCCAAGAGGAGACCTCTTAATCAGCACGCCCTGGGGGCGGCGGGGGGCACCTTGCACCTTCACACGCGTGACCGTTTGCCGCATGGCAAAATCAAACCGATATTTTATTTTCGTTTCGGAGAGCTGGAATTTAGCCACATTTCGGCGAGACCCACGAATTAATATTGTCACTGTTGTTGTTGTTTGTTTGTTTGTGTGCGCGCGGTCGGCGAAGGGACCGCACGACGGAAACCCGCGGATCCGAACTCAGGTTCCCAGCGGCGTCGGCGCTGCATCTCTGACACGGCCATTGTGCACCTCAGCACCCTCCCACCCCCCCACCCACCCCACTCTCCACACAACCCTGTGCCACACCGGGCACCCCTAGGATCAGGGTTGTTATTGCTCAGTAACATTCGCGCGCGCGTGCGTGTGCGTGCGTAACCGCTGTTGTCAATGTGTGTGCATGGATGTATTTATTATTAGGCGTGTGTTATGAAGTGTGTAGCTTTGCACGAGATAAACAGACGTGCGCATTGGTGCGGTGCGTGTCGGGTAGGCGATGTGGTATGTGTGTGTGGTATGTGTGTGTGGTATGTGTGTGTGTGTGGTATGTGTGTGTGGTATGTGGTCGTGGTCGATGGTGCGGTAGGTGGTACGCTGGATAGCGAGGTGCGGGTGATGGCTGTTGCGGTGTGGTTGACGCTGTGCGGTTGGACTCGACGCTGCTCACTTGGTCATCATCATCGTGATGAACTCTAGAATGGACACGCAAACACCAGGAAACACGACACACACACCGCACACAGACACACGCACGTGTTGCGATCGTACGCAGAACAGCGACGCAGGCAAGTCTTGTTAGAGAGCACCTAATAAAGGCGGGGATGGCACACGAGGGGGTGATGGGACTACATCCACACCCGGCCGCCTTTGTCTCCCCATTGCTAATGTTTAATGCTCCCCCTCATAGTTCAGCCCGTGACCACGGTCACCCTCGCAGCTGACCCCTTTGTTGACCCCCATGACCCTGCTCACCCCTGTAGCTGACCGTGACCCCGCTCACCCTTATAGTTGACCACATTCACCCCTCATTCTTGACCCCGCTCACCCTCGCAGTTGACCCCTTTGTCGACCCCTATGACCCTGCTCACCCCCGTAGCTGACTGTGACCCCGCTCACCCTCGTAGTTGACCACATTCACCCCTCATTCTTGAGCCCGCTCACCCTCGTAGTTGACCCCTTTGTTGACCCCCATGACCCCGCTCACCCTCGTAGTTGACCTGGCCATCCCCGTCAATGTCGGCCTCTCGGATCATCTCGTCCACCTCCTCGTCGGTCAGCTTCTCCCCGAGGTTGGTCATCACGTGACGCAGCTCCGCCGCGCTGATGTAGCCGTTCCCGTCCTGACCACCACAGCAAAGACAGAGACCCCCCCCCCCTCCCTTGAGCAGACTGTTGGGGCAAGTGCTGTTAGCGAGCGCCTATGAAAGCCAGCACCTGTGGCACACGAAGGGGGTGGGTGGCAAGCACCGCGCCCAGCCACCTTTGTCTCCCTCGTGGCGATGTTTACACACTGCGCCAGGTACTCATTCGAGGTCGAGTCGACCTAGGGCAGGCCCAGGACACGTTCAGATAATCGTCACTTGGTGTTGGCCCCGAGCGGGATTTGAACCCTGGTTTGCCGGGTTCGTAGCGCAATACGCCAACCACCGCTACAACACTACCACCACACAACCACGACCATCACCAACAATTATGAAATCAATGAAACTTTGTTTAACATCGCGCCGCCTTCACAATACAATTGTCACAGGGCGCTTTCGCAAAGGGCATGTAATATTGCACCAATAAAAGTTACACGCAACAATAAGTATGCACACACACACACAGAGATCAAAATATATGCAAGGAGACTATGAAACACATCCTTAGAATGATTGTTAAAACAGCACCACCTTCCTTACAGTGGACCGGCAGTGCGCGAGAAGAAGCAGAGAGAGAAGAGAGGCGACCTGCCGTTTGGTGAGGGGGCGGGTGAGCGGGTGGGTGAGCGGGTGGGTGAGCGGGTGGGTGAGCGGATGGGTGAGCGGGTGGGTGAGCGGGTGGGTGAGTGGGTGAGCGGGCGAGTGGGTGGGCGAGCGGGTGGGCGAGCGGGTGGGCGAGCGGGTGAGTGAGTGAGCGGGCGAGCGAGCGGGTGGGCGAGCAGGTGGGCGAGCGGGTGGGCGAGCAGGTGGACGAGCGGGTGGGCGAGCGGGGCGAGACCTGCAGTGTGTGGCTCAGCCGAAATAGACTGGTAGACTGTGTCCTCAACATGGGCGGTGATATTTGAGAGATGATCAAGGGAGATGGGAAAAGATGATTATGGGAGATAAGAGACGACCTCCGACTAGCACGGTTGGCTACGAGTGATGCGAAAGCAGTTCAACGTACACACGACGACGATGACAATGACAATAATGAGGAATTTTGCTGAGACAATGACTATTAATGAGATAATGACAGGATTGTGGGAGATGGGCACATAAGACGAGGATGAGAGACGACGATGACAGCAAGGAGGAGGTGCACGTGCTCGTCCACCTTGTCGAAGACGCGGAACGCCTCTCGGATCTCCTCCTCGCTGTCCGTGTCCTTCATCTTGCGCGCCATCATGGTGAGGAACTCTGGGAAGTCGATCGTTCCGTTGCCTGAGTGGACAGAGAAGCGAGGCGAGTTTACAACGAGGTTGGAATTACTTTTCGTGATATGGGACTTCACAGCGAGAAATCTACGTAGCCATCGTGTGCCCAAAGAAGAACGTTTTCAATCGGTGCACAATTCCTGGGGTCCCACCGATGGATCTGGCACACGAACGTTGACAGAGACAATGGAACAATAGCTGACAAGAAAATGGAACAGCCGAAAAAGGTGCGCAGAGAAGCACGGCACCGCGCCTCCTTGGAAATCACACCGAGAGCGTGAACAGTGGAAAGGCGCGGACTGATTAGCGGACACACGCCGGAGTTGGAAAGACTTCGCGGCGGCGAACGCTCACGAACGCGAGGCACTTTTCTGGGTAGGACTCGTCAATAGGGCGGGGGCTGGGGGGGGCTGGGGGGGGGGCTGGGGGGGGCGGGCTGGGGAGGGGGCTGGGGGGGGGGGTTATGGCCAGCGGTTCAAGCCTCGCTTAGAGAATAGCAGTCAAAAAAATGCGGACCGCACACGGCAAAGACACAGCTACCCCTGCAGGCGGGCAAAACCACGGCTCGGCATTGAGCAGCGAGCAGAGCCCGGGCGGGAAGGGCGGGAAGGGTGGGAGCCGTCTTACCGTCGGCGTCCACCTCGTTGATCATGTCCTGCAGCTCGGCCTCCGTGGGGTTCTGGCCCAGTGACCTCATGACGGTGCCCAGCTCCTTGGTGGTGATGGTGCCGTCGCCGTCCTTGTCAAAGAGCGAGAACGCCTCCTTGAACTCTGCGCGGCAGTCCGGGGGGGGTGGGGGGGGTGGGGAGTCGAAGGTTGTATTTGTCTCGCTGAAACCAGGCGAGAACTCGAGAGAGAGAGAACGGGTGGCCAGTAAACGGCGAAAAGCAATAATGCAAAAAAACGGCAAAGTACCACGTAGAAGTAAAATAGAATATTGATGTCATAACCAAACGAATAGAAAATCTGAGGGCGACAAGAAGGGGAGGGAGTAAGAAGAAGAAGAAGTGGGAGGAGGGATGGAGGACCGAGAAGGGGGGGGGGGCAGGTAGGGAGGTGCAGCTGGAAGGAGGAAGACGAGGGATGGGGGAGAGGGAGGTGCATCGACGCAACAGGGGATCTATCGGATTGGGGGGGGGGGGTATTGAGGGGGGGGGGCGAGTGTCCGATCTCTACTCCCCCCTCATCCCCGCCCCCAACAAGTTTCCACTTCACCTGCACTGCTCACGTCGACAACTCAAGAGGGAAATCCTCCGCCCCTCCAGGGGGGTCTTGTGCCACGCGGCATCTTGCATTGGCGTGCAATTTTATTTCAAGCCCTCCCCCCCCCCCTCCCTAGCCCCCCCCCCTCCCTAGCCCCCCCGGACCCCGTGGGCTTTGGTGCAATTGCACCGCCTGTGCTCTCGGCAGCTAACCACCCCTTAACCCCCCCCCACCAGCCCCTACCCCCCCCACCAGCCCTTAACCCCCCCCCCCTCAGGCCTAAGCCCACCCGTGCCACTGGCCCCCACGCCCGGGGGGGGGGGGTCTTGGCCCCTGTCCGGGGTCAACCCAGAGACACGGCTCACGAAGCTGCCGTCCGTGTTTAGGTGGCAGCGGAAGTTGATTTGTACCGGTATCGCTGCGTTGAACGTCCACCACAGCGCTGATAAGAGACCTCGTCGGTCAGACAAGAAATCTGTACCGGGCTTGGGTCTACAGGTGAGGGTGGGGGGGGGAAGTAGTGTCCCGATTTCCCTCCTAACCCCCTAAGCCCCGAGACCCCGAGACCAGCCCCTATATGTGAGTATGACCCCCCCCCCCCCCCCGAGCCAGGCGTGGCGATGGGGTGGCGCGAGACGGCGTCGTGGCCATGACGAGAGGCTCGCTCACCGGCAATTTGTTCTTCCGTCAGCTGGTCGGCCTGCAACATAGCACACGGAGAGATAATGATCGCACACGCAGATAACCATCACCACCTTCTACTGTGAGACGCGCTTCGGTTAGCCATGCAAACCCCCACGCATCCTATGTCTACGTCTACGATTCGACTCCGTAATCAAATCACCGCCCCCCCCCCCCCCCCCCCGCTTGTACCGTCTCATTGTCATCCCATTGCATTTCGTCCCAGACGTTTTAGTCCGGCCGCCATTTGTGAAATATACAGCTGTTAGCGAGCACCTGTTAAAGCCGAAATGGCACACACGCACGCTGGAGTGGTGTGACCACACACATGACGATGTCAAGAAATTGTCCTTTTTAGAACCAGCCATTTTCTTTTAGTCGGTAATAACAAATCTCAACATTTCAAGAGCCGCAATGCACTGCGTGGTGAACACGAGAACGGTGCTGGTGGTTCTGAAATAAATAACTGTCGCCAAGGAGTCCTTCAAAGAGCCGCAGGTCGTCAACCCCTGTGATAGAGAGAACGCCCCCACCAGGCGCCACGGACTCTCGTCGGAATGTCAAAACACAGGAGGTGGAAGACAACTTCACAGAACTACTTTTGAATGAACTTCAAAACAACTCAATGCCAATACGATGAACACACCTGAAATATACCCCCCCCCCCCCCCCTGCTAAGAGTGTTCATCACGTGTCCATCCAATTACTTAAAATGTTATTTACGATGTTCGGAGTTCATAAAAACCCAACGAGGCTCATGTATTGCGATTGGGTTTTTTGTCTGCCATCATTGGTGACTGGTCTGAGCCCCTAACCATCAGGAGACCTTGAGAATCCGGTTTGAATCTTGGTTGACTTCGCGGGCGACTGAAAACCAGATTCAAACCCAGGATCTCAGCTGTGTCGGCTCACTGTATTGTTCCAACATGGCCATTATGAACACCGCGAGAAAGAGAGAGACACCCAAAACCAGCAATCAAGCTTAGGGTGTCTCAACATGCCTACGACATGGCCATTATGAACACCCTCACAACCAGAGCCAGAGCTGGAACCCAGGTTCTCAGCAGGTGTTGATGCGATGTTCCCGTCTCCAGACATGGCTATTGTGAACACCCCCCCCCCCCCCCCCCGATACTGCCGACAAACCCATTACCGAACCCGCCGAGCCAGGGATTTAACCGAGGGTTTGAAAGCCTGCGTCCGAGCAACGCCGGCGAAATGCGTTTCCAACAGCCTGACCGTGGCCATTATGAACCGAGGCATTGCGAAGTCACCCCCCCGTGAAAACTAACTCGCACCGCTCTGCCGCCAGAACCCGCCAGACCGGACAAACCCAGCGCCAATAGCTCCGTCTCAGTGGAGCGAGTAGTGGGCGGGGGGGGGGCTGCTCCAGTTTCACATCTTCAATTTTACCTGATGCTCATTTCAGGCCGAGTCTACCTAGAGGGAGGCGTCGGCCTGGGTACACATAGAATCCATTTTGCCAAGGTTTTTTTTATTTTCGTAAAAAAAAAATGTAATAGCGAGAGGTTGCCTGATCTTATCAGATAGTCTCCTGTTTAAAGACCCACAGAAGTAGTGGTGGAAATTCCGCATTCCTGTGTCGAGGGCGAGTCTATCCATGGGGCGAACCGGTGATGACTTAGACCCACGAAGTGGTACTCAATTTTATCGCCCCCATTAGGGATGATGGGCTGTCGATTGCCAGCCGCTCGCTCTACCACTGACCACCCACCTGGTCGGCTATCCTCGTGTGATTAAGTAACGATCCACTGCTGGATGAGGGCCGTGGGTTGTTTTCCGACGGTACTTCACCATCATGCGAATAATTACCAATAATTATTATTGCTGTTATCAATTACAAACAGTGCTAGATTTAATAAATTACTCAAAACCTCATTTGGAAGTGGACTTCGTGTACACGTGGCCTGCACCTCCACCCCCCACCCCTAGGTCGACTCAGCCTCAAAACGAATACCAGCTGGGCGGTGTGTACACATTGGCACCACTGGGGAGAACAAAGGGGGCCAAGGGGGTTAGGTCAACAACCTATTTGCTGTACTGCAGCCTCAGAGGCAACCCCCATTATCAGTGGACCCGGTGCGCGCCGGTTCCATTAGGATGTCACGGGCGGATGGGGGCCGAGGGGAGGGGCCGGGTAGGAGGTGGGGGGGTGACCAGGTAAATGTTCCACTCGCACATCCGGCAGGGCCGGCCGCCTTTGTCTCCCCAGTGCTAACGCCGATATGTTGACATACGCCAACACGCGCGCAAACACACACACACTAGGTGTGTACGACATTCGATAGACAATACGCACACAGACAAAAGATCCCCCGTGAAGCCTGAACAGGCTGTTGGGGCAAGTGCTGTTAGCGAGCACCTATGAAGGCCGGCACGGCACACCCAAGGGGGTGGGAGAGGGTGTGGTCAGAAGCGCCCTGCGCGGCCGCCTTTGTCTCTGAAGTTTAGCGACAAGCAACTGGTTGATCATTTGAGGGTGAGTGGACCTGGTGAGGGGGAGGGAGGAGTGCCCTGTGACAGGTTCAGATATCACTTGCGAATGAGTTTTTTTTTGTGTGAAATTGATTAACAAGACATTGGTCATGCTGTATCTTTCGCACGTGATAAATAATGTACACGCCGGGTGTTATCCCGCCTGCGCACGAGGTGGGTTTTCTCCGGTTTCCTCCCACACGTATGTGCGTTGAACTTCTTTCGCACCGTACGTAGCCAGCCGTGCTAAACCGGAGGTGCAAGTCCAACCATCATTTTTATTTTTGTGCCCGTGGCGGAAGTTGGTGGCGGCTGCACCACCACGGATGCCACGTGATGATGGGGAAAGAGAGCGCGAGACGGGGAGGGAAGAGACAAGGAGAGAGAGATTCCTGGGGGAATCAAAGGAAGGGGATGGAGACGGGACGGAGAAGAACGGGAGCAAGAGGGCTGATGAGGAGAGGCGGGAGAGAGTTAAGGGAGTGTGTGCGCATCATGGCCTCGACACTGCTGATGTTGCACGGAGTCTGTTTTCTCAGTGGGTGGGGAGAGGAAAGAGATTCAGAGTGGGGGGGGGGGGGCATACACGCAAGTCACGTGGTTTACGGGAGGCTTGAGAATATTTTAAAACACAGTCTAGAGATTTGGACAAAACGTCTCACTGGAGCAGCACCCTCCTGAAAATGAGTCGGTGAGAGCCTCTCCTAGAAGATCTTTTGTTTTTAACATTTCTAAAATTCGCAGACCACCTCCGTCAACAACTCTCCACTGCAAAGATCTCGCGCCGCTCACCCCATCCTGCCCCACGATATGCAGCGTGCCATGCTCGCCACGCTGCCTGCAACGTCCCTTTTTGTCAAGGTTTTGCATAATCGGTGGCGCGGCATTCTCCGCGTTAGAAAGACAAACCTCGTTCTAAAAAAGCAAAATTCGAGGGAGTTAGGGGGTGGGGGGTGGTGCGACCCAAGTTTAATTCCGGCTCTCACGGCCACCAAGACGAGTGGTCAAGACCGAGCTGGAAACATCGCGCGGACCACCTGCCCCTCATCACAACTGGAAGCTCTACAAGCCCCCCCCCCCCCCACCTTATTCCCCCGCCCCCCCACCGGACAGACGAGGCTGCCCTTCGCCCCCCCCCCCACCACCCCCACGTCTCCCACGTCTCCTCCTCTCCGTCCGCAGTAGCAGACTGGCCTCGGCTGGTACCCGAGGAGGGAGTCGCAGGCCGGGACCACGGCTGGGCGATCGGTTGCGCGCAACCGATTTCACGTTACTCGCGGGGACTTCTCTGCAACCGGTTGCCGCTCACGGCAGAGAGACGAGGGGCTTGGGACTTGTGGCGACGCGTTTCGTGACCGCGTGACGACTAAAACCAAACGTTTTTATTTTACCAGGCAAGGCCCACTTATCTATAATACAGGGTGTTTCAAAAAGATGGACCCAATTTCAAAGCAGTATATTTCACGATGGCAACATGTTACAATTACACAACAAGTTACACACGGTTTAATGAGTTATCAAGTTTTACGAACCATTTTCTAAATGCTCTAGAAGCCACATGGCTATTACAAATAGCTCAACGAAGTGGCTTATCACGTGGAAATTGATAACAGCAGTCAAATACACCAAAACGCGTGATGTTAAATTGTAAATGTGGACGGCAAAAACCGGTGGACCCGGAGATAAAATTCACGCGACCACGGGGAGAGAGAGAGAGAGAGACGACAGACACACACACTCCAAATATACAGCAGGCAGGCGCCGGGGTCGGGATCGAACAGACGACGTCCTTCCTGCACACCAGGCGATGTAGTTAACATCTCGCCACCGCAGCGACGTCAACGAGGCTGTCGTGACGATGTTGAATGCGCCGTGGCTCGTGCCTCGTGCCCTTATTGCGCAACCACTCGTTCAGATGTTGGCAAAGCGGTCGCAGGCGACGATTCGAGCCGCGCGATTTTGGTAGAAGCGACTTGGTCGACGGCGTGACCCCCCCCCCCCCGCTCCACTCTGCGCTTAGGAGGCAAGGGTTAGTGGATCACGGTAGGATTTGTGAGACTCAAAGTTTATTTTCTTTGCGCTCACCTCGGATTAGCACGGTTGGCTACGTACGGTGCGACAAAAGTGCAACGTACGTGCATACAAAGTAACTTCCTGCTTAAATTAGCATTGAGGCGTTCATCGCTACTCATCTCCCCTTCATAGCTCCGAGCCAGTGGTTGAAATTCCACATTCCTAGGACGGGATCGAGTCTTTGTATACGACAATCACTGTAGACTCCCCAACCCCCCTCCCTACATAAGTGGCGACGTGGTGGTACTAATTTAATTTAATCCCGAGAGATGGCGATTCAATCCCGAGCAGTTTACCCACACAGTCACCAATTCTAGATTTGAAGCTTTAGTGACTGCAAGGATTCATATTCTTATGTTTTTTCGGTAAAGTCACGTAGGTAAAATTTTAAAATAAAAGTAAAATAAAAAATAAAATAAAAATCACGACGTTTCGGAGGCAACACAAGCCTCCGTCTTCAGGTGGAACCGTCACAGCACGATAGCTGTATCAAGAAAATTGATACAACTTGATACAGCTATCGTGCTGTGACGGTTCCACAAGTTACTTGATACAGCTATCGTGCTGTGACGGTTCCACCTGAAGACGGAGGCTTGTGTTGCCTCCGAAACGTCGTGATTTTTATTTTATTTTCATTTTACTTTTATTAATTTAATTTTTTTTACCTACGTGACTAAGAATACAGTCACCAATCTAGACTGGTGGGGGTGGTAGGATGATGGCGGTGGTTGGTTTGGAAGCTTCCTAAACCCGAGTGGTGTCACTGTGAAACGGGTGCCTCCGCTGGTAAATATTCATGCTCCACATCTCGACCGATGTATTTCCCTCGCCACCATCTCTCATCACCACTACGTAGGCCCCCTAATCCCACCCCTCCCACGCACGAGCCCCCCACCCTCGCGCTGCCCCCAATTCCTGGATCTCGACAACTCTCTGCGGCTAATCACCTTAGCACATTGTGTACAGACATCCCCTCCCCCCACCATCCCCATCTCCCACGATCTTCATCCCTCCTCCCTCCCCCCACTATCTCCGCTCTCTCCATCGCCGCCGCCTCCCCCAGCTATCTCCATCCCTACCCCTACCCCCACGTCCTCCATCCCTACCCCGCCTACTATATCATCTCTCCATCCCTACCTCCGATCCCCCACCATCTGCCGCGGTTGAGCGTTAATTTCGTCTATTCTGTGTAACTCGGCGAGAACTTGAGAGACCAGGTTGAGCCTCATTTGCAAGAGTGACTTGGGTCTTTAGTCTGCTGAGATGATTGCTACGCACCACCCCAATTGAGTAATTTGCAGGTCAACTTTCATAATGCGGCAATTTTGGACCCCTGAGGCCCGCACGCAGGAGAGCTTTGGAGTCTATTGAATGAAGCAGACGCCGCGTAGTATTACGGTTCACACACTCGCAGTATTAATCAGGGCGGCCGCTGGCATCGAACCGCGAACATCTGCGACAAGTGGCCAACGCGCTGCCGCAAAGCCGCGTCACCGCCCTATGCAGGAAGAAGACTGTGTCCACCAGCCACACTGCAGATCACACAACCACCAACCTCACCTCACCCACTCCACCCCACCTCACCCACCAACCCCACCTCATCCACCCACCCACCCCCCTCATCTCACCCACCCCACCCACTCCACCCCACCTCACCCACTCCACCCACCCCCCTCATCTCACCCACCCCACCCACTCCACCCCACCTCACCCACTCCACCCCACCTCACCCACTCCACCCCACCTCACCCACCAACCCCACCTCATCCACCCATTCCACCCCACCTCGCCCACCCCACCCCACCCCACCTCGCCCACCCCACCTCGTCCACCCCACCTCGCCCGACCCACCTCACCCACCCCACCCCATCTCATACACCCACCCACCCTACCTCACCCACAACATTCATTTAATGAACAATGTGACCTGAACAGCAATGTGCATTAGAGATGCCATTAGCATGATTTTGCGTTTCTTAAATGACCATTTAGATTTCATTAGCGCGGCGCGGCGGTACACAGTAAATCCGCCGACCCGAGTTCGATTCCCGGCCCACGGCTAACATCAGTGACCGGTGAATATACGAACCGGTATCCGAATAAAGCCTCTCCCCCTACCCACTTCACCAGCCAAGCCGCACTGACCAGAGTGGTGAAGTATGGTCAAACAACCCCAGTGATCGACGCGACGTGTAAGGGGGAGGTTTGGTCTGGAATGGCAGTAGGTCTATGGGCCGAAACGTTTACTGATTTATTTTACACGTGGAGACACATGAGGAGACGGGCTTCTGCTGATATTCGCTATTTGCACACGAGCAGGTGATGCCGGGTAAACAGGAATAAAACATTCACAACTCTCACTTCTGTCCGTTCAAGGGACCCCGTCACAAAGTCGCGCTGCTCTAACAATAGGTGCAAGGGTGGCGCTTGTGTCCGGTGGTGGGAATTCCACGTTCCCATGACGAGGATCGGTCATACTTTTTTTTTTACTTTAATGGCTGCGTTAACAGTGGTGCAGAAAGCACAAATTAGAGAAAAACTGAAACTCACATTTGTTTACACCACAATAATTATATGTGATATGAATAAGGGTCATTGCCCGAAACGTCGCCTGATTTATCTTCATATATATAATTGTTTGTTCCTTATAGGGCGTTTTTTTAACTAACGAGTTGATTTTTCTTCTTGGTTCTTTCGGTAAAGTCACGTAGAAGGGAAATAATAAAATAATAAAAATAAAACATTATAAATTGAGTTGCTTTTTCTTAACGAAACGAGGGTGCTGGGATGGGGGCTCTATTTATAGGCACCCCACTGATTTATAGCGAACCCATTTTACTCTCCCCTCTCAACACTTGCGCCCAATTCTCTCCGGAGAGCGGAATGGCGAGAGATGGATGGGGAGACGGCGTGGAGCAAGGTTGTGAATTAAACATCCCCGGTGATTTACATCACCTCACCTCACTCGCTCTCTGGCCCTTCTAGAACATTCTTGGAAAATCGCATCAGACCTCTTGTCGAGACACGCAGACGACAGGGATAGGGGCCTAGAGGGAGATAGGAAAAGGAGGCACGGAAAGAGAAGGTGGAGATGGGGAGGGAAGGTGGAGATAGACGGGAAAATACGTGGTGGTTGATGGAGGGAGAGATGTAGGGTGATCGAGGGAGCGAGGGGAGCGAGAGGGAGACGCAGATAAATAAGAGTGGGGGTGGGGGCTAAACAAGGTAGTGTTTGATCTGTAATTTAGACCACTTTTAGTATCTGTATGTTTGGCTCACCGTGTATACTCCTCTGTAGAAAGAGCCCACGTGATGTTTACGAGTTTTATCAAATAGTCATCTATGCCTCGCATATTCTGGCGTTAGTTATGGTAATTATCGGTCATCTTCTTGGTTCTTTCGGTAAAGTCACGTAGAAAGGAAGTAATAAAAAAATAAAAATAAAAAAATAATTCTCACGACGTTTCGGCCACAACGCAAGCAGCCGTCCTCAGGTGAAGATCAGGTCTGTCGAGACTGTCTTCTCGACAGACCTGTAAAAATAATAAAATATTTCTCACGACGTTTCGGCCACAACGCAAGCAGCCGTCCTCAGGTGAAGATCAGGTCTGTCGAGACTGTCTTCTCGACAGACCTATTCTTCACCTGAGGACGGCTGCTTGCGTTGTGGCCGAAACGTCGTGAGAATTATTTTATTATGTTTTATTTTTATTATTTTATTACTTCCCTTCTACGTGACTTTACCGAAAGAACCAAGAAGATGAATCCCTGCAGTCACGAAAGCTTTAAATCGAAATTTAATTATCGGTCGTTTGCCAATCCACTGCTGGATGAATGCCTACCCTCAGCCAGCGCCGTGTCGGTCATAGGTCTTGGTTTGACCATACTTCACCACCCCGGTCGCGATGTCGGTTCGAGGCTGAAGGGCTGGTGGCGAGTCAACGCGAGAGCCGTGGCTGGAAATCCAACTCGGGTTGCCGGTTCTTAGCGCAGTGCGCTAACACCACTCCACCCCAGTACTGTAGCAAACCTTTGTACAGTATTGTATACTGTAGTGTGAGCTTGTGCGAGCAGAACGAGTCGTCCTGTGGTCAGGTTACTCGACTCAACCCATCATCATTATTCATCCAAACGAGGTCGATAAAAAGATACCATTTTGTGGGGAGAGGTGGTGGGGGGGAAGTAAAAAAGAAGGGGTAACTTTACGGACAAACTAAAATCAAGTTTCATTTGTATCCATAACACTTAAACGCGTCCATAGAGGACATCCGCCGCGGAGATGGAACGATTACATCAGTTCACACGAATGCAGCTGCGAAGTGGAGCATCACCCCGCAACATCCTTGCGGTTATCTTAATCCCGCAGTGGATTGACCATGGCTCGTGAATGACGATGATGATGATGAGCTTATCTGCTTTTATATATATACATACACACACGTGCATTATAACACGTGTGCTTTATAAAGCGAGTACATCTCGATTACCTGGCACCAGCCACACGAACTGTGGAATTTCCACCGCGGCGCTAATTGATGAAGTGCACTCACCATGTCGTCTTCGCGAGGGGGGCTGCTGCGGCACGGAAGAGTTCACGGGCCGGAGACGCGGGGACGCGATCTTTAAGGGAACTCGCTTCTCTCTCCCCCTCTCACTCTGCGCTGTCTCCCCCCGCCCTCGCCACTCACTCCTCCCTTCCTACACCTACTTGCACCCACACACCCGCTCGCTCGCTCGCTCTCTCACTCACTCTCTCACTCACCCAGCCAGCCAGCCAGCTCACCCCCCCCGCTCACTCCCCCCCGCTCACCCCCCCCCCGCCCGCTGACCCCCCCCGCCCGCTCACCCCCCCGCCCGCTCACCCCCCCCCCCCCCGCCCGCATAAACAAATGGTGCTTTTTCTGGAAGATTGTATTGTTTTTGTAGGGGATGTTTCAACTTGCGTACAGTAAATGTTAAATGTATCTTGTAATTTTATTGTTTGTTGCGGTTGCACCCGAATCAAGAGCCGAATGGCTCACAGGGTTATTCCAAATACATGAAAACTGAAACCCGCTCACCCCCCCCCCTTCTCTCTTTCCCACTCCATCCCCCCCCCCCTCTCTCGCTACCCAATTAGCTCCTCCCTCCCATTCCCCATCCCCCAATTACCCCTCCCCCCACCTTCCTCCACCACTCAACCTCCCCACTCCCCCTCTCTTAATTCCCTAACCTTAGCTACCCCCCCCCCTAATCCCTCCCACACTCTCCTCTCTCTCACTCGAGCCGTCTCTTTCCTCGCATCTCTCTTTCTCTACCTGCCTCTCTCTCTCTCAATCCCTGCCCACCCTCTCTCTATCGCTCTCCCCCTGCCTTCTTACATCTCTCGTATTACATCTACTCGTATCCCTCTGACCTCGCTATTGATTTTCCATTAAGACGGCCTCTTACCCGAAACGTCGCCCATTGCATAGTTTTCCTTTGAAGGCCACACGCAAGTTTTGTTATTGACTGGCGTGTTGAGTGTTGCTGTTTGTCCGTGTGCATCACTGCCAACGCAGCAGCGGTAACAGCTGCATCACCAGCCACCAAAGTGTCTCCCATAAGAGTCTTCTCACACGTTGTGATACATCAACAGTGGCTATCCACCGAATATACTGCTCCCCCCGCCACACATGGGAATGTAGAATTTCCACCACTGGATAAATATCGATCCCCCTCCTCCCGTTACCCCACTCCCCATCTTTCCCTCTCCATCTCCCCGCGTTCTCTGCCTCTCTCTCTCTCGCTTCCCCACCGTGTGTATGAATCGAGTTATAATGATCAGTTTAGCGCGTGGCTCAACTTTCTAATTGCATCTCAAGGAGTCGGCACAAATCGGTGCCCGCGCGTCAATTATCTCAACCCTGGTCAAGACTCGAAAGTCAGGATAAACACGAAAATAGATTGTCACATTTTGCAAACCGTTCGAAAATAAACGCCCGAATTCCACCACCGTCATCAACATCATCTCCATCGGCAGGCAGTGGTGGAAATTCCAAAAAATGACAACGGCGACAACCATCGCGTACTCCGTGCTATGCGGCTGTGATCATACTTGTAACAGAGCTGCTTAGATCTATGGACCTTACCAGCTGAAATATTATCTGTGTAACTCAATGGATCTCTATGCAAACTCTATGTAACTCTGCATATATATGTATCTCTGTGTAACTCTATGGATCTCTGTGTGTAACTCGTCCGTGTAACAGGGCGGCTTAGCTCAATGGGGCCTTGACAATTGCCGTAATAAAGTCTCGTCGATAAAAAAATAAAGTGAATACAAATAAAAATATTTTTTAAAATTAAAATAATAAAAACAAAAACATATTGTAAAGAAAAAAGAATATGAATTCCTGCAGTCACGAAAGTTTAAAGTCAAAATGTAATGAAGTCCGCTTCTAATAAAAATAAAGACGCGGTCATTAACAAATGAAAGCAATTGAACAACCAGCGAATGGGACGAACGCGCGCCAAGCGACAAGCAGAGACGCAGACAGGAGCCCGTGGAGTTGACATAATAAACACGCGCAGGCGAAACGTGTCATCACTCACAGTGTTAATAAACGAAAGTGGAGTCCGGGGCAGGTGCCGTCGCCAGTTGAGAGGGGAGGGTGCGTTGAGGGGGGTGGACGCGGGGGGGGGGTGGACGTGGGGGTGGACGCGGGGGGGGGTGGACGCGAGGGGGAGTGGACGCTGAGGGGGGACGCGGAGGGGGGACGCGGGGGGGGTGGACGCGGAGGGGGGAAGCGGGGGGGGGGACGCGGGGGGAGGACGCGTGGGGGGGGGGGGTGGACGTGGGGGGAGGTAGACGCGGAGGGGGGACGCGGGGGGGTGGACGCGGATCGAGTATAATAACGGAGCGGCGGACAAGGGACGGAACGCGTCCGAGGGAGACGTCCACCCAGGAGAGATGGAGCCATGAATGGTGCCCCGACGTGAACATCTGTGAAAAGAAGAGCTTCATAGCTCATCGGATTGCTCCAGTGTCAATAAATATTCTGATTCTGATCGCAGGATCGTGAGAGGTAGCGACGGTGTTTTGGGAGGTCTTCATCTAGTAGTGGATCGACAATGGTTGATGATGATAGCGATTGCTAACTTATCAGGGTCATCACGATCCAATGCCATCGCCTCCTTCCCTCTGCTAGATCTCGCAGCTGCCTCCGCTGCTGCTGGTGTTTCCGTGAAGGGACAGCCGTCTCTCAAGGGTTCACGATGGCCACCTCGCTCAACTCCATCTTCCGCCACCGAGATGGGCCCCATCCGATTGGCTGCGGGGCATCTGCAATGCGGCGCGGTGACGTCACAGCCGTTACCTGGGCGCAGGTGGGAGTCACGTGCGATTTGGCGACGCGCGTCTCGCCTACCCAGCCCCTCCCCTCCCCCGTCTTCACACCTAACCACCCCATCGCCCCCCTCCCCTCGTGCCCCCCCCCCCCCAACCATCCCCTCGTTCCCTCCTCCTCGTCTCCCCTATCAACCATCACTCCCCCCCCCCGCCATGCTCCCTGTTGACTCAGCCTGCTTGGCTGCCCCGTTCATTCACCTGCGCCAGCAAAACACCTGTGCGTACCACGTGACAGCCCCTCATAATGGCCATCCACCTCATAATGGCCATCCACCTCATTCAGCTGTTCTTCCATCGTCACCAATCCACCTCCTTCTACAACATCATCATCATCGGCTCCTCCATCACCTCTTCCATCATCATCAACTTCTCATCATTATCATCTCCTCCACCATCACCTATCCACCTCATTCTGCATCACCACCTTCTCCTCCTCCTCCACCATCGCCTTATCCACCAACTCCTCCCTTTCCCCGGGGACTCTTTGCGTGCCGCGTTGGGAGCTCTCGGGGGAGGTTCGGCTAATTTTACCTGGACGCGTCACGGCACCCACGCGTCATTTTCCACACGCACCTCCACCACCACCTCATCCACCACCTCCTCTGTTCACCGTTTCCGCGACTCACGGCGCGATACCTGAGTAGAGGTATCCACCTCTGTGATCACAACGACAACACAAACATAAAATCCGCGGGACGGTATCACGCACGGAAAGGAGAAATAAATATCTCACAATACCTCCAGAACGTTTTATTTGGTGCCCAAAAGCACAAAAAACATAATAAATAAACTCGACACATTTACCAATAACAACGCTACGTATGTGTAGCCTTAACAGGAACAAAATGCACATGATAAGTGACGTTTCGGGCAATGGCCCTTCTTCATCGTACAACAAAAGATGAAGACTTTTTTGTACTATTAAGAAGGTTCATTGCCTGAAACGTCGAGTTTATTTGTTGCCCCTAAATGCGACGTCTTGAGGGTTCAAGGCCTCCCGCTGCTCAAACAAGCATCGTGGCGGCGGGTTCTGTTGACAGCCCTGCAAAGACGGTGATGGAAATTCCACATTCGTATGACGGAGGCGCGTCCGTCCAGAGGACAACCACTGTCGGCACCCCAACAAGTGGCAGTGTCGCGGTTAGCGCGCTGCGCTGCACTACCAAGCCGCCCACACGAGGTTCGATCTCCGATCACGGCCTCCAAGACCGGTCTGGGGCCTCACCCCTAGGTCGACTCAGCCTCGAATGAGTACTCGGTGTGATGTGTAAACATCGCCACTCGGGAGACAAAGGCGCTCGGGCGTGGAGCTGGCCACACCACTCCCTCGTGCGCCGTTCGGGCATTAATAGCTGCCCGCTAACAGCACTTGCCCCAACATCGTATGCAAGGTACATGGGGAGAATTTTGTTTACAAAATGTTGAATTTGTATAGAGAGGATATCGCTCCTGTTGTGTTGAGGTGTCAGCGCAGGTGAGTTAACCTGTGACACGTGACACTGGGGGCTGGACGCGGCCCAACAGCGCCACCACGTGGTTCATACAAAGTCAAAGATCCCCCGTATAGCATTTAACCCCCGACCGCTGTGGCCTTGACAGAAAAAAATAAAATTCAGCGACGTTTCGGGTAATGGACCTTCGTCGTAGCACATCAAAGATGCGTTATTGACGAGTGCGATGTGAAGTAGAGTTATTGCCCGAAACGTCGCTTGTTGTATATGTGTTTTCTTACAAGGCCGCAGTGTTGTTGACGAATGTGTGTGATCTCGTCCCTCTACAGGTGTGCTCCAGATGTCTTGTGATTTGTGATCTCGATTTAATTCTCTACAACTTAATATTCTTGTTATTATTAATATGTAAAGACAAAATTGGGGGTACATTTATTGGGGGTGGGTCACAAGACGTCTGGACCACCCTGTAACATCACATCTCATCTAAATGCAGTTGTAAAGGGGCATCCCCAAGTTGCAGCTATCCCCGTCTGGTGCCACGAGGTGGCTCAGCAGCAATCCTGGCCGGCAGACTGCGGCCTCAGTCGATGAGAGAAACGGTGGTTAGAAAAGTCTGCCAGCCAGGGAGGCCGGGTGATTATTGATGTTATGTAATCCCAATTGCAACTTAATGATGAATCTGCGTTGTGTAAATTGACTTAGGGGCCGTCCATAAATGACGTCACGCACCTAGGGAGGGGGGGGGGCTCAGACATTTGTGACGATGTGTGACGAGGGGGAGGGGGGTGTGAGAAATGTGACGTCACATCAAAATGCGCAACTTTAAATAAATATAGACGACACGTTCTACTTAATTA